GGGGGTGGAGGGGGGAGGTGAGTATTTTTGTTTTTGATGGAATTTTTTTGGGGTTTATTTGTTATGTTTTGTATTTGTTTTTGTCTTTGTTTTGTTTGTTGTTGTTGTTCGTCTTTTTCTTTCGGTTGTTTTTTGTGTGGGTTTTTTCTGTTCTGTTTTGTTTTGTTCAGGGATCATTTATTACTGTTAATATTATTCTTCTCCTCACTTTTTGTAAAAATTACAAGTCTGCTTTGGTGTACCCGAAATACCAAAAGTACCTACCCCTCTTCTATGTAAATTCAACAGTCAAATTATGATTTTCGACCGGTGTCTGTGTTGTAGTGGTTAATTGCGTGTCCGTATCACGCATGAGACCTGAATTCGATTCCCGTGCGGGTAGAATTTTCATCGAGTATCTCGATCTTTTTTCTGGGACGTTGTATTCCTCTCCCTCCTATTAGGGCTTGACAAACATCGGAGCCCCGCTTTCTGATGTAAACCCCATTGGGCGCTGGGAGCGTTTGGCGGTAACGTTAGCGCGTCCGATACTAGTGACAACTGTTTCTTTATTTAGTGTTAGTTTTTGTTTGTTTTTCGGAACTATTCACAAACCAAGTTTTTTAGTAATGACTAAGCCTTTGTTTCCGCCATTCAGAAGTTAGAGACAAGCTTTCGGGGTTGTAATGAGACATAGTGCACCAGGTTTAGGCGACTGTAGGAAAAACTCTGGGAAATGGTGGGGGGAAAAACTCAGGGTTTAATTAATGATTTAAATTTTGTCGATGTGGTGTAAAAATCCCCTACATTCAAAAATGATGTTCTTCACCCTTTTTCCAGATGTGGAATACCGTGAACACGGCTTTGAGCAATCGTATTCAGGAAACGACGGATGCCCGGAACAAGATTCAGACGCATCTGAACAGAACTCTCCAAGAAATCTTTGATATGGAGAAAAACGTGGAGCTATTGAAGAAGTCAATCCACGATAAGGAAGCTCCAATGCAGGCGAGTGTTTCATCCAAATATTTCGTTGACTTCGACAGCACTGTATTTGTTGGCGGTTGATGGGTGCTCTGGTGTGGTTTGCTCCTTTCCTGTCAAACATCTTTAGTCTTTATCCTTTTCCTTCTTTTCTTTGTATGTCACTCTCTTGTAACACCTCTAATTTGTCTAATCTTTGGAACATATAATATTGTTTACTAATTGTTTTGTGAGTGCCGTAATTCTATTACTTAAGTTAAAGCACTGTACTAT